TCCCTGAGCCTTTTTTTTCTGAAGGCTACACTCTGGGCTGGGAATGTGGTTTAGTGGTAGGGTGTAGAGTGCTTGCCTTAGCATGCATGAAACCCTGGGTTCAATTCCTCAGAACCACATAAACAGGAAAAGCTGGATATGGCACTATGGCTCAAGTGGTAGAGTGCTGGTCTTGAGCAAAAGAAGCTCAGAAACAGTGCCTAGGTCCTGAGTTCAAGCCCCAGGGCTGCCCCCCCAAAAAATAAATAAATAAAAGGCTGGCACTTGAGCCACGGGTTCATTTTGCCTCACAGACTTTCCTGCCTAGGTGATTTCCAACCATACCCCTCAGATCTCAGCCTGCTGAGTAGCTAGGATTACAGACTTGAGGCACTGGTGCCTGTTATTCACTTTCTTAAAGTTCTGGGAAGGAACCAAGGGTCTTGTACATTATGATCAAGTAAGTGCTCTACCACGGAGCACATTTAACTTTTTCTCTTTTCTTTTCTTTTTCTGCTGGTCCTGGGGCTTGAACTCAGGGCCTGGGTACACTAGCCTTGAGCCTCTTTGTGCTCAAGGCTAGCACTCTACTACTTGAGCCACAACACCACTTCTACGTTTTTCTGAGTAGTTTATTGGAGAGAAGAGTCTCATGGACTTTCCTGCCCAGGCTGGCTTCAAACCAAGATCCTGACTTCAGCCTCTTGAGTTACTAGGCTGACAGGAATGAGGTACAAGCTCTGGATTTACCTTTTTAACAGTAGCAGTGATTCATTCATGCCTTCAAAATTCTAAGGGAAGTATATTTTGAACACAGGATTTAACACCAAGCCAAACTACTAATCAAAGGCTACAAGACTGAATGCTCTGCCAAAGTAAGGAAATAAAGTATGGGCTTGGGGTGGGGATATCTTAAAAAAAAAAAAAAAGAGGATATGGCACAGGAAAGAAAAAAAAAAAAAGCAAAGGCAATCCCCTGGATGGTAGTAGAGCAAAGTCCCAGTATGGCAGCCCCACGGGTGTGTTTTGTCCTCAATCCAGAGAAGAGCCAGGAAGGAGCCTCTCAGGGAGGACTCCAAGAACACATCTGTGTATTTAGCCAGGTCAAGAGGAGTTGGAGGGCTCTTTTACAGACTTGCAGGATAAATTAGTGATAGGTACATAAGGAAGGCTTGTTTAACAATAAAGAAATAAGGCAACTACTAACTTCTGGAAGGAAAAAAAACTAAAATGTTGTTCCAAGAAGGGAAACAGAATTATAGCACACCTAGGGGCTCAGCTTTGAACAATATTTACCTAGCCATAATATTTAAACACTAAATATCGGTAAGATGAAAACAGAAAGTTCTAACCAAACTAGAAGGGATTAAGAAAGAGCCAGGCACCAGTGGCCTGTAATCCTAACTACTCAGAAGGCTGACATAAGATCTGAGGACTGTGGTTCAAAGCTAACTTGGGCAGGAAAGTCTGAGACAACTCCAATTAACAACAACAACAACAACAAAACAGAAGTGAAGCTGTGGTTCCAGAGGTAGAACACTAGCCTTGAGAGAAAAAAAAAAATCAAGGACAGCAGCCAGGCCTTGAGTTCAAGCCCCAAGCAGGGTTGGAAAAAAATAAAAATGAAAAAAAAAATAGAAAAAGATTTTTAAAAAAACAAACACAAAACCACCTGACTACATGTCAGACTATGAAGGGCAATAACTTGGTGCTGAGCCCAGGAGCTCTTGCTGTGGAAAGCTCCACAGAACAGACAGTCTTTAATTCCACCTCTACTAGTGGGCCTAGATCAGATTTTGTAGCCACCTGGACAGAAGAGAGCAGCTAAACCTTCTCAAGGAACAAGTTTAGAAGAGCAGAAATGCCCAACACAGCTTGGTGGTATACTAAGGAGCCTGGGAGGATACTAGAAACCCAAGAGTAATTGGAAAGAATTTTACCAGATGAGCAGTAAACAATTTAACAAAGGTGATACCAAATCATTAACAAAGTGATTGGAAAAGAGTACCACTCTCTCAAAGGTTAACTGGGGCTTTAGGTAAGGAGTATTAACAGAAAAACAGGCAGTTTCAGACTCCTCCCCCCACCCCCCTTTGGCCCCAAAGCAAAGAAAACAGAAGCTACACCCTCAGGTTTAAGAAGAGGGAAGCTAGGCTAGGGATGGGAGTGGAGGCTCTGACCATATAGTGCTCACTGGCCTCTCCTTCCCCTCTACTCCTCCAGATAGGCACAAGTCGACAGATAAAGTATGGAACATACTTTTATTGTTATTGTTGTTGTTGTTGGTTGTGGGGCTTAAACTCAGGTCTTGGGCACTGTCTCTGAGCTCTTTTGCTCAAGGGTAGCGCTCTACCACTTTGAACCACAGCATCACTTCTGGTTTTCTGGTGGTTATTTGGAGATAAGAGATTCACAGACTTGACCCTCAGATCTCAAGTCTTCTTGAGTTGCTAGGATCACAGGCATGAGCCACCAGCACCCAGCTTCTCAGAGTAGTTTAATGAACACAGATGAGCTTCTGTCTCCAAAATATGTGGTTCTAATGTCTAAGATATTCCACAACTTCATTCCTTCTACTTACATTGGAACTTGGGGTAGGCGATAAAGAGAGAGAATGAGATATGCTTTTAAAAAATGGTCTAATTATTTGAAACCAGGCAAATGTTTTATATTTCAGTTCTAACAACCCTAAGATGGAAACACCTTCCTTCCCACAAAGGTTTGGAGGTTTTCTTTGCCTTGCAAGCAGATGGTTGGGGGATGCCCGCTATTGTGGGAAGTTGGCCCTCAGCAGCAGGGTCAGGAGGGTGGATGTAAGAGGGCCAAGAAAGAACCTGGAAGAATTTTCCAGTGACTCTAAGGTCAAAACCAACACAAAGTACTTTCTATAAAGGGATTTCATTGGGTGAAGGGAAGGTCTCCACTGTTCAAAAGACAAATCTGGCACCATTAAATTTTTTTTTAAGCAAAGCAAAAAACATTCCAATGACCTCTGGCCTCCCTAAGCCCATTTCTCCCTGAAAAACCAGGTCACGTAGCAGGTGGGAACAGTCGGAGACTTTTCTGTCCTGATGTGAATTGTTACCACTACTATGTATTACTTTTTATAATCAGCAAAAGGCAATAAAGAGGGGACTGGGAAGGTGGCTCAGTGGTAGAGTGCTTGCTTCGCATGCATGAGGCCCTGGGTTAGATTCCTCAGCCCCACATAAGCAGAAAAAACTGGAAGTGGTGCTGAAGCTCAAGTGGTAGAGCACTAGCCTTGAGCTAAAGAGATGAGGGACAGTGCCCAGGGCCAGAGTTCAGACTCCATGACTGACCAAAAAAAAAAAAAAAAAGCAATAAAGACATGACCATACTGGAAAAATGAGTGTGTGGTGGACCAGATCATCTGCAGGGCACCCTTTGCAGCAAGATTCTGCAAGTTAAGTCCTTTATTCTGCATCCCTTAGTGTGGGCCATATTATTGTTATTATTGTTGTTTTGTTGTTGTTATTTGTAGGTTGTGGAGCTTGAACTCTGGGCCTGGGAGCTGTCCCTGAGCTCTTCGGCTCAAGGCTAGCAATCTACCACTTGAGCCACAGCACCACTTCTGGTTTTCTGGTGGTTAAGTGGAGATAAAGGTCTCACAGACTTTCCTGCCCAGGCTGGCTTTGAACCATGATCCTTAGACCTCAGCCTTCTAAGTAGCAAGGATTACTGGTGTGAGCCATGGGTGCCCAGCTGGGCCATTTATTTTTTATTCTTCTAGGGATACTGAACCCAGCCAGCCACCCCTCCTGCCTGCTGGCCCAGAGTGAACACACAATCTTGTCCCTGACTTCTCCCTCTCTTGCATTTCATGGGGCTTGGCTTTCAATTCAGGCCTGTCCAGACCTGGACTCTCTCCTGACCTGGAAGAGTCTAGAAGTCACCCCAAATGGCCTGTCAAGGAGCCATAGAAAGAGCTTATATGGTAGCTATGAGAGAGAGAGAGAGCGAGTGCTCAGGGCAGTGAGACTCTGGGTCCTCACTACAAAAATGTCCAAGACACTAGGGTGCTTGTGGCTTCACCAACACCCAGGACCATGAGCGCATTAGAACCTGCTCTAACAAGAACCAGTCCCCTTGTGAGTGTTATGTGCAGTGTGTGGGCAAATGTTGTGGGGAAGGACAGAAGGATAGGGCCCAGCCTGTGGGGCCCTCCATGTGACCACCATTTAACAGAACTGAGCTGTTCTGAGGATTAAATGAGCTAGTAAATGCTGAGTACTGGGAATCACAGGAGGCCTGCCTCAACTTCGAGCTACCTATTTAATTTTTAGCGAGCCCAGAGGTTTGCACTTTGGCCAGAAGGAGCTTTTCTTCTACAAGTCTCACAGAATGCTCTGGAAGCAAAACTCCTGAAATCCCCCTCACCCCTTAAAAAAAAAAAAACACACAGTACCCTCTCTGCTTCTGACCAGGCCTAAAGCTGGGGCCCATCTGCCAGTCCAGGCGCAAGGGCCTGGCCCACGACCTTGGAGAACCTGGGAGAAAGCTTCACGAAGCGACAGTACTTTTCCACTGCCCTGCTCGGCCACCCCAGCTGGCTTGGTGCTGCGCAGACCGGAGGCAAAGTGCTCCTGGATGGCTTCATCAAGAACCCATCCCCAAATCCTCCTCTTGGGGATGGGGTGGAAAGGGCGTGCTGAGGGTGAGGGGCGATGAGCTGAAACGCTAGAAACGGAGGAAGTGGGGAGGGGGTCTCTGATCGCACCACTGGGGAGCTGGGGAGGAATTTACAATGGCCAAGCCCCCCCCGCATATTTCAGGGGAGCCCCACCCCTTGGCCGCCCCTCTACCCCCAGTCCTCCAAGGATAACGGTGAACCCCATCCCGCCGCGCGAGTGCTGGGCCTGCGCGGAGGGGGAGGGCCGGGGCGAGGGGCGGGGCCAGGAGAGCTGGCGGTCCCGCCCGGTGATGCAGGCGGCCCGGGGAGGTGGGGCCGCGACGCCCGGAGGAGTCCCCGCCGCAGCCCAGCTCTCGGTCTACCCCGCCGAGCAGCCGCCAGCTCGGGCTCGGGCCACCTCCCAGCCGCAGCCGCAGTCGGGGCGGCGCGGGAGGGGGGCGGGGAAGGGACCGTGGGAATCGACCCCTTATTTGGATCTGGGGCGGGGGCATCCACCACCTCTGACCCCACCAACCGCCAGCCCCTCGTCACTTCCCAAGACGGTGGGAGCCGCTCTCCCGGAGGACGCGCGGTTCCCGGCCGCCGCCGGGCATCTTGGCGGCCAGTCAGGCTGGACACCGGGCACCTGCGACGCTCAGCCCCGCCGTGCCCCTGGGCATCCGGAGCAGCGACTGTCTCCGGCGCCAACCAGCTTCCCGCGGCTGCGGGGCGGAGGGTGGGGGTGGGGGGCTCTGCCAGCTTTCCCCGGCCCCCGGCCGGGACACTCCCGTGAGCGCCCCGAGACCCCCCGCCCCACGCCAGCCGCTGTGGCCGCCGCGATGCTGCCCTGGAGACGGAACAAATTCGTGCTGGTGGAGGACGAGGCCAAGTGCAAGACGAAGAGCCTGAGCCCCGGGCTGGCCTACACGTCGCTGCTCTCCAGCTTCCTGCGCTCCTGCCCGGACCTGCTGCCCGACTGGCCGCTGGAGCGCCTGGGCCGCGTCTTCCGCAGCCGGCGCCAGAAAGTGGAGCTCAACAAGGAGGACCCCACCTACACCGTGTGGTACCTGGGCAACGCCGTCACCCTGCACGCCAAGGGCGACGGCTGCACCGACGACGCCGTGGGCAAGATCTGGGCGCGCTGCGGGCCGGGCGGGGGCACGAAGATGAAGCTGACGCTGGGGCCGCACGGGATCCGCATGCAGCCGTGCGAGCGCGGCGTCTCGGGGGGCTCGGGGGGCCGCAGGCCCACGCACGCCTACCTGCTGCCCCGCATCACCCACTGTGCGGCGGACGCGCGCCACCCGCGCGTCTTCGCCTGGGTCTACCGCCACCAGGCGCGCCACAAGGCCGTGGTGCTGCGCTGCCACGCCGTGCTCCTGGCGCGGGCGCACAAGGCGCGCTCCCTGGC